TTATTTAGAGATTTTCAGCTTACTTTCAGCACAGTTGCAACAAGTGAGGCATGCCTCACACTTTAAACAAATTCTGAAAGGTGATTAAAAAAAGGATCAAATTTTTATAGACTGAATCATTTTAAATACATTTGAAGGACTCATTACTTGGTAACTATATAAATCAGGAATCTCTTTCAAAATTGAATTCTGGAGGATATGTGATTTCATCAGAATGGAGAACTCCCAACATGGAAACTCCCTCCACAAAAGCAACCATCTAACTTAGAGAAGTCCTAGGAAGTGGCCTGAGTTTCATATGGGTCAAATGACAAGTCCATGGTCACCTAGTTAGTGTCAGAGGCAAGAATGGAAATCAGGCCTGACTCCACTTTATCCAATGGGCTATACAAGGTGCTGTTTGCATGTATATGGACATGGTGCTTGCCCCATGAAAGTTATAGTCAGTAAGCAAATCACCACACGAACGATTTAACAAAATTAGCCTCAGATATTTACTAGCTTTGTGACCTTGGAAAAGTCCTTCAACTTGTTTGCCTCAGTTTCTTCATCTGTAAAATGTGGATAATAATAGCACCTATTGTTGTTGTGAGGATCAAACAAGATGTTAACTGTAAAGCCTAGTTCAGTACCTGGCACCTAGTAGGTGCTCTATGTTAGCTATTATTAGGTATCATTATTATTAATGTAGGTAGTGAGGTTGGGAAAGTCAAAAACTATTTTAAAAAGTGGCCTACGGATTATAAAATCCAAATACTAAGTGAATGAAGTAACTGGAAAGTAGTATTCAAATGGTTGTTCTCATAGTGAGGCTGAAAGAATTCTTATAGGTGGCCTAGTCCAATCCCCTCTAATTTTAGAAATAAAGCAAGTGAGGCCCAGAGAGTTTAAGCAACATTCCCAAAGTCATATAGGCAGTACATGCTTGGGCCAGGTGGGGCTGTTCTATCCAATGAGATAATTTATGTGATATCATTTATAAACCATAAAATATTCTATACGTGGCAATTATTGCAATCCAAAGATTATTGTTTGTAACCTGCTTGCGATTCACTATATAAAAGTGAGGCTTTATTCATCACAAACCTATCTACAGAGATATGAACTGTTAAATTGTTATGATGAGGTCTGTTTCAAAAACCTTTATATTATCCAAGAACGTCTAACTTAGCATCTTTGATGTCATGGGTGCTCAGTAAATGCCCAATGAATGAAGGGGTGGCTTACTTTCAATTGGTCCTAGGAACTTAAAGAAAAATCAAAAAAGGGAGTAAAGGTTTTAAATGACAAGGACAAAATATTAGCCTTAATGAGAAGACACAATGGAGGAATGAATCACTGAAAATGTTCATGGAATCCTAATGGAAGATGAGCAGGAGATCAGTTAGATGCTATATAATGTAAATTATTAATGATTTTAAGAAGACAAAGTGTTACACAAGGAGAAGTGGGGAATATAAGGTTTATGAACTGGCATGGCTTTAAGCATTATAGAAAAATGGAATGTTAGAGTTACTTTAGTCACCTTAGAGATCAGAGAGTCTGAACCCCTCATCTTACAGATGGGGGTAGTGTGGCTGAGCAAGGAAAAATGACTTTCCTAAAATTCTCGTTCCCTACTGTCAGAGTTGAGAGTAGCACATGATTCTACCTGAGTTTAATGACCTTTCCATACTGCTGGGTGCTGCAGTGGATATAACCTTGGATTTGGAGTCAAGAAGACCAGAGTTCCAATCTGACCTCAGACACTTACTAGCTCTGTGACTTTGGGCAAATCACTTAACCTCTGTTTGTCTCAATTTCTTCAAATGTAGAAAGAGAATAATTTACAGCACCTACCTTGTAGGGTTGTTGTGAAGATCCAAGGAGATAATATTAACAAGGGGCATGACACATAGTAGGTTCTTTATAAATTCTCATTTCCTTCCCCCCTCTCAATTATCTAGTTCATTTCACAGTATAAAATGGCCATATATTGAAGTTTATTATTAACAGAGTTGGGAGAAAATCTTGACCATTTCACTGGAGTTCAGTGACCTGTCCACCCTAATACTGCTTTCTCCGTACCCTGTTCTAGTTCTGCCCTGTGTGGTGGCTACAAAGACCAAATGCAGATGGGAGTCACAAAGAAGATTAAAGGATTAAATAGGTCATAACATAGATGAAATAGTAAAAGACCCAAAATTATCTTTCTTACTGGAAGAAGAGACCGGTAGGACAATGAAATGAGGTCAAATATATGAAAAATTATTATGTATGACATAGTAACTGTTTTCCATCTCTGACTATCAAATAAAAAAAACTGCTTTGAAAAAAGCAAAATATTAATGACAGTAAAACTTCTTCTTTGGGCTATCAAGGTAAAGCTGGGAAACTTCACTAGATGGGGTAAAACAAGGCAAATTTCCATCAGTCCAAGATAGTAATACTCCGGTACTATTTTCTAAATTTTCCTATGATTCTGGAATTTATTTTGTTATGATTACTGATACTGATTGTATCTGACTATCTGGGCACATCTTAAAAAACAGACTTTAAGACACTCAAAAGCCCAACTAAAAGCTATGGCATGCTTACACAGCAAATTAAATCCTGAGATAATATATCACAACTAGGCATTTTTTCTCAGGAATAATTTAATGCTGATTTTGAAACTGCATATTTAGTGCTGTAAAAAGGACATATCATTTATTGTTAATAGGCACAACTTTAGGATATACATAGACCCACAACCACAACCATACCCACTTACACGCATACATCACTCCCTAGATAAAGTTCTACATCAAGATTCACTGACTCAACAGTAAAGAGACATATAACTATGCGCAGGAATATAGACACTTCTTACATCTCAAGTATTTTTTTAAAAAAGAAAAGATGTTAAAAGCTACCCTGTTTCTTCTTTTATTCACAGCCTGCAGATATTAATGCTATTTGACAGGTAATTTAACAAGAATGTCTTACTAAAAGGAAAATTTCTTTTTAAAAAAGATTCTAATGAAATAATGGTGCTTGACCCAACAACTAGGATACAGAGATACCAATACATCCTTCTATGGTGTAATGATTTCATTGTTTCAGAAGTGCAAATATTCATTTGCAGATATTGCTGCTCAGCTACCTGTGGAGACCACGCAATTGATTTTAGAATGTCCAGAAGAAGGAACTTCTTGATATACTGATTTTCCTTACATCTACTTATCTCTTCATCTATCCACAATTTGTTTTCATGTTAAAGTGTGTACCAACACCACCCCCATTCATGTGCAACAATGAAGATCAAATACACGTTTATACAAACACTTCCATCTGTTTAATTAAAATCTCTTTGACTAAAAATTAATTTCCTTGAAAACAAAAATGCAGAAACTCTGATGTTGAGGAAAAGTATCAATATTTATGTATTTTCTGTAATACTAAATATAACCTCTTACACATTTAATTTTATATCAATATATTAATGATGAAGAGCAATGAAAGTTAATGAAATTTTTCTTTGAAAAATACAAAGCAACCTAAAAAAGGACAGAAGTAAATTTTTCTAAAAGTGCCTTTATTTCCTGTCATAAAAAATGTCATAAATTGCCCATAGTATAGTAATGGAAGCATTATGAAATGAGTATTTCTAAGAGAATAGATGTGCCAGAAAAGATTTCTGTGCTCTTTCAAAACCTCAAAAATGGGCTTATACTACTTCAAATGGAATATGTTTTATTCCAAAATCTTGCCTTTGCATAATGCTGCAGTGTACAGAATATAAACATTTGTGTATATCATTAACACCGTTTTCAATGACATCATAATGATCAGATATACTGCATCTTCATTTTTGTTTGCATTATATTTTCCAGCTGCTGGTTTCAGAAAATTATCCCTGGAGTTCTCTTCTTCTTCATGCACAGCATACAGTAATTTGCAAAGTCATGCAAGGATGAAAATGTGATTGAAATATAGAATATTTCCTAATGAAAAATAGTACTGCATTATGAATTATTGTTAAAATAATTTCAATACACTGTCCCTAAACCTCTTTATACAATAGTCTCTATTTATACATTTGCTACAACTGGAAAATCCTGGTTATTATAAACAGAGCCTTTTAACCATATTTTATTTGGCATTTTAAAAATTAAATCTGGAATTTTTCAACTAGCTTACAATGTTGTTGCCTAAGTTGCTTTGAACATTTTGTGTTCATCAACTCAATGTTTTTCTATGAAACCTAGGACTTACTGATGGAAATTAAAACTGGTGCTACAAAAATCTCTCCAAATCTACAGATGTAAAGTTATCTTCAGTTTGTCTTTCAGCTCCCAAGATAACATCCAGGGCATATCTAATGATTTGAATAAATACCAAACTGATCATTAAAGTCCTTAAAATACCTGTGGAATTGTTCTGTTTATGAATTGTTCAATACCTACATAGTTTGGATTTCAATGTGGGTTCACATTGCTTTTACCAGAGGAAGGAGAAGCTTCATCTCATGACAACTCCAACAACAACAACAACAACAACAACAACAACAACAACAAAAATGGTACAAATAACCTTGTAGTATATAGCATTAAAATGAAAGGCACAAATCTAGGGCCAGCCTCCATAATAAATGCTATTTATTTAATTCTCTACCCTAAACAGCATATATTTAAAGAATAATTTTTCATAGGGATAAAAAGTTTGAGGGGCATCCCCACTTATTGGTGTCGGGTACATCTATGCATATTTATCATCTATATATGTTTATATATGTGTATCTATACATATATATGCATATATATATGTGTATATACACACACACACACACACACACACACACACACACACATATATATATATATATATATATATATATATATATACAGAGAGAGAGAGAGAGAAGAGAGAGAGAGAGAGAGAGATGATGATGATGATGATGATGATGATGATGATGATGAGGGGGAGGGATCTTCTGAATTTCAAAGCCACAATCTTGCATTTTAAATCCTCTCTCCTACCTGGTCCATCCCAGTCATCTGTCTCAGTGCTGAGCTGCCCTGGTTTTTCTGATTGTGTGTCCCCATCTGATTCTGCTGTCTCCTGGATCCCTTCTTCATCACCTGAAAGAGCACCAACACAAATACAGATAAAGAAAGAGATAAAAAAACAAACAAATTGTGATTTTTTTCAGCTGCAGGGTTTTTCTTATTTGTTACATATATCTTCACCATGCAAATGTTTAAGCATTATCACTTTTGATTCTTGGTCCTATTTTGTTACAAAAATAATGAAGAGCATCCAGTAAGGACTATAAATTCATTGCTGAAAAGATTATTCAAATTTTTCAAAACAAAAATCTGCAGAGTTATTAAAAGTATTTATAAAAATGCAAATTCAGAAGATAGGATTTCATGTTTTCTGAGAGTTTTGGTAAATGAAACATTAATTTTTATCCTTTTGATGGTTTTTAAATTTAAAAGTGATGTTTATGGGAAACTTTATGGAAAGCGTTGGAACCTTTTCAATATCGTTGAGAAAATGAAAAAAGTGATGTTCATATGGTAAAACATTCTACACCCTTTTATTTGAATTTAAATTACTCTGAAACAGTTCCAGCATTTTGGAAGGAAAAAGAAGATATTTAGACATTATGCAAGACATAATGCTCACATCTCCATTAAAATGAGATTTTTAAATGTCACAAATTATTAATCTATGAGATAAATATGAGTTCTTATATTAACATAAATATAGATTCCCAATATTTTGCTAAATTTTGAAATATTACTTAATGAAGGAAAGTTATGTGTTGTTCCTAGGGTTTATTATCTTCTTTTATGTTTTATTTTCATAGAGTAGTATATCCAAAAATAAGTGCTATTTCTGTCATTCAAAAGGAGATATAAATTTTTACATAAACATATTGTCAAAATATGAATTATTAGTTAGCAGTGCCTTAAAGTACTTAAGAGAAATCTACTAAAATATTTCTAATTGTGATTACAAATATTCCCTAAAAAGCCTTCGATAAAAAGAAAAAAATAATTAAACCTAGATGTAAGGAAAGGTAAGGAAAGAAAAGAGACAACTTGAGGAAAAAGAACAGATTAAGAAAATATGAAATACTGCTCAAAACTTACAATGGTAGCAACATAGTGACATTTAAAAACACATAATTTTGGGTGTTTTTCAGGTTCAGATTTTCCCTAGACTATTTAAAGTGTCTGCTTCCTATTAGGTTGTATAAATACATTTAAGACTTTAGAATATACAAAATACACAGGGGAAATTACTTAATTGTGATGATTGTATTTAAAGTGTTTAAAGTGCTAAAGTTTGTGTTAGAATATTTTTATTACAAGTGAAATAAACAAGACATTAATTAATCCTTACTAATATGAAAGAAAGGATATATAATGTGAAAACCAAGATGTAGGCCTGTCAAGCTCAGTTTTCCCATAGTATAGAACGCTTTAAAAATGTTGCCCTATGAGATTCCACAGGGCAAACAAAAAAATGGAAACAAAATCAAAACTATTTACTAGTTGATACAAATCTTTCAACCATATTACTCCAAGAACCTGGATTCTCAAATCCATCAGTATGTACAGCAATCAAACTCACTGAAATTTTTGCACTTGTCTCTGAATTAGTCTCCCTTGGCGTGCCAGTTTAACTCTCCATTATCCTTTATGGTTAAATTCTCTGTTCCTTTTTCCCATTAATACTCACACCTTGACAAAGTCTAACTATGGGTTACCTACATTCCTACCCACATGCTGCTTAAAGAAAGACATAATGCAACCATAAATTTCTGTTATCTAATCCCAACTGATTTCTCACTGCAGCAAGACTACCCTTTTACACTTTGTTGAGTGACACCACTCTCTTCAAAAGCTGTTCCTCAACCCTCCTACAGCATCTCTTCACCCCAGTATTTCAGCATTAGAACTTGCTTCATATTCACCAAAAACAACGATAACAACAACAAAGCTATGTGCTTAGAGTTCCCACTTGTCCCCCGATCATCACACAGTCCCTTGACGTAGTCTGTCATTCTCTCCATCTTCATTATTGGTGGCCCTTCACTTTAGATATACCCTTTGGTTTCATCCTCTCAAATCTTCTTCAGTTAATTGTACTCATCATCATTCCCTCTCTCTAAAACTTCAAACACTCCCTTTTCTTCTTTGCTGCCTACAAATAAGTCCAAATCTCTCTATCTCAAAAAAAAAATCCCACCAGATCCTAGCATGTCTGCTATCATTAGCCTTATATTTTCCCCTTTCTCAACCAAATTCTTTGATAAAGCCATCAATGTGTGATGACTTCACTTCTCCTTTCAAATTCTTCTAAGCCTTCTGCAACATGGCTTCTAATCTGTCACTCAACTGTTACTGCTCTCTACAAAGATATGAATGATTTTTAATGATTGCTGTATTTAACAATCCTTTCTCAATCCTTATGCTTGACCTCTATGCAACATGTTACATAGTTGACTATGTTCTTCTCCTGCATACTCTCTTCTCTCTGGGTTTCTGTGGCATTGCTTCCCTCCTACCTGTCTGATCACTCCCTCAGAATTCTTCACTCATTCATCTACATCAAGCCTACTTACTGCTTAGGTATATTAATGCTCTGTCCTGGCCCTGCTTCTCTTTTCTGTATGCTCTTGCATTTGGCAATCTCATTGTCTTCATATTCAATCATCAAACGCATATTGAACATTTTCGAATGGATGTCTTCTAAACATCACAAACTCAACACATTCAAAACGGAAATCATTTTTGTTCTCAGCTTCTGAACTTCTCTCTTACTCTGACGTCAGCACCACATTTTTCAGGCATCCAAGTTCACAATCTCAGCATTACCTCTGACTCCTCGCCACCCCATATATTAAATCAGTTGCCAAGTCTTTACATTTTGCACGTTGCCTCTTCACCATTCATGTATCCACCATCTCGGTTCAGGCTTTTACCACTCCTCAGCTGGACTACTGCATTTACTCCCTATTTGGTCTTCCTTACCTTATGCTTCTCCCCACACCAATCTATCTTCCACACAGACACCAAAGGGATTTTTCTAAAGTGCAAGTCTGTCCATGTCACACCCATTCCCTCTCAACAAACTCCAGTGGTTCTCTATTACTTTTAGGTTCAACTACAAATTGCTCTGTTAGACATTAAAATCTCACGATTCCTACCTTTCCAGTCTTCTGTATTACTCCACTTCATGAACTCTGTGTTCTATCTGTATTGGCATATTCATGGTTCCTTACACATGATGCTCTATTTCCTATCTCCATGCATTCAGATCGGCTCTCCCTCGTACATAGACAATCCTCCCTTCTTACTCCCATCTTTTGGAATCCCTGGCTTCCTTTAGGATTCAACTCTAATTTCACTATCTATACAAAGTCTTTCCTGATCCACTCAAATGCCATTGTATATTTTCGTAAAATTCAACATAATCATTTTGCATATATTACACATAGACTTATTACAATAAATTCATTTGTATATGATCTGTATAAATTTATGAGTGCATGTTGTTTCTTCCATTAGACTATAAACTCTATGAGAGCATGAACTGTTGTGCTTCTTTTATCGTATCCCCAACATTGAAAGCACAAGTTCAGCTCATAATAGTTCATAAATGCTTATTGATTAACTGAAGGACCAAAACGACCTTAATCTTTGACTCCTGTCCTGTTTCCAACATATCTCAGAAAAATACACTACCTTCCTGTAACTTCTTAAAAATCAGAATTATACAAATGTGAACTTTGTTTCTTCTAGCTATAGTAGGGTCTCATGCTCTGAAATTAGTCAAGCAAAGGTTATATACAATTTGTCCAGTGTGCTATAAAGAGGGATTCTTATTTAGGTATGGTGTTTGACAAGATGGCCTGTGAGGTCCCTTCCTACTCTGTGATTCTGTAATTCTGCAAAAATGATCATAATAACACATAGATTACTTACCTTACAGGTAGAGATCCTCATCACTTCATGCCTGCAGGATAGTTAGAAATAGCCTATTTGTTAGTCTCTCTGCTTCAAGACTCTTTACAATGCAATCTAATTTGCTATCAGCTGCCAAAGTCATCTTCCTAAAGGACAGTTCTGACCATGTCATCCTTATCCTCAAAACACTCCAGTGGCTCTCTGTGTCTATTAAAGCCTCTTATAACGAGGCCCTTTTCTATCTTTCTAGCCTTCCTACGCTATACCCCTCTTCCTTTATTCTGTGAACCAATGAACAGTTGGAATCAGAGGATAGTATTGCATAATAACAGTTAACAATTATATAATGTTGGAAATATGAAGTACCTTAAATAAATGATATAGACCTTGCACCTTTTCACTGATTCTCTCCCATGCACGGAATCTTTTCCCTCTTCACCTCTGCTTCCTGGTTTCTATCAAGACTCAGTTCAAATCCTACTTTTTGCAAGATGCTTTTCCTATTCTTTATTGCTAGTGCCTTCTCTCTGAAATTACCTCCTATTTAAACTTTATAGGTCCTGTATGGACACTGTTTTTTTTTTCACATGTGAATTTCTCATTAGAATTTGAGCTCTTTGAGGATAAAGATCATATTTTCCTTTTTCCCCATATAACCAATGCTTTGGACAGTGTCTGGCAAATAGTATCCACTTAATAAATGCTTATTGACTAACTGATCTTAGTGCCATACTGGTCTTATTTCCCAAACTCCTCATTTATTTCTTTTTTCATTCTAGATGGTGTGGAATCCTTTCCATAAAATTGCCTCTAGTTCTGCTTTAACAAAATCTTCCCTCAAATGTTCTCCATAATGGAGTCCTTACTTTGGTCCTTGGATTAACTCAAATGCTTATCTATCTCTCTATCTCTCTCTCTATCTGTCTATCTATCATCTATCTGTTTGTGTGTGTATACATACTCATATACACATATAGGAGAGACTTTTGCTGCCTTCCCCTTTATCTATCATTTAACTTTTGAATATCCCTTTCAGTGCACAAAACTTATCCTAACAAGTCTCAGTGATACCCCTGAGTTCAAATTCTCACCCTTCTATTAGGATCTTGATTGTTAATCATTTGTATATAAACATGTGAAGCCATGCATGGACTTTC